TGCTGCTGCTGTAGCTGTAGTTACAGTTTCAGTTGTCTCCCACCGATGCGTCACTGTCCACCATTGTCTTCCATCGCCTTCTCTGTCTGACAGTGTCTGCGTGTGTGTATGTGTCAGTCGACCACCCGCAAATTGGCAATTATCATCAGTGGCAGGTGTCAGTGCTCTAATGACGGCCATCATCAACATCAACATCAACAACAGCAGCAGACACAATATCAACATCGCAGTCTTCTAGCGAAAAACAAAAAAAAGTAATCCTGTCCAACAATACCGCCAGCAGTAACTCAACGAATGCGATCCCGCTTTACAAAAAAGATTTTTTTTCATTTTCGTAACGACATGTACGAATAGCCGCTGCCGTCGCTCCATTTGTTTTTTTCAGTGTTGTCCTTTTTCATCAGTTGATGCAGCAGCTTCTTCGCTACCTCTAATTTACCTCCCGTTTGACCACCTGCAGGGGAGGTAAAGTGCCCGAGTAGTTGTTGGCCGATTGCGTCCCGATTACGCCACAGTATTGCCCCACCCCTTCCTGTGATTTGCATCAGCATCACCCATTTCATCACTCCACTGAAACAGCATCGCACCGAAGTTGACTTGTTCTTAAGTGTCAGTACGCTCAATACGCAAGCACCCATCTATTGTCCTGTTCCCTAGGAGAAGGACTTCATTCAACTACCTCATTTCCAATTATTATTCAGCAGAAAAGTGCGGTTTGAAGTTCAGTACTGCAGATCGACCGCTTTCTGCTGACTCCCGCCCTCAGGATGGGAGCAACATTCTCACGACGAATTCAGTCGTTCATCGAGTCGTTGCCGTTTTTTCAAACTCTCCACATTACTATGGTTGGTCTGGATTCGGCTGGCAAGACTACCGCTTTATATCGACTCAAGTTTGGCCAGTATATCAATACATTGCCTACGATTGGTTTCAATTGCGAAAAAGTTAAACTGAATTTCGCAAAAGCTAGGGTATGTAACTTGGTAATTCCGCTCCATTTACTATCCAGCTTACTGACCAATCCTCATCACTTCAACAGGGTGTTTCATTTACGATATGGGACATAGGTGGTCAGGACAAGTTACGACCGCTTTGGATACCCTACACTAGATGCACTGACGGAATCATATTTGTCGTTGACTCGGTTGATGAAGATCGCTTCGAGGAAGCACGAATCGAGCTTATGCGAACGTTAAAGTTCCCTCAGAATAACCATGTGCCTCTTCTCATACTAGCAAATAAGCACGATCTGCCCGAGTCAAAAGATCCGCAAGAGATTGCTCGCACACTTGGACTTAATGATCTGAACGGAAGACATTTGTGGCACATTCAATCCTGCTGCTCCATCATAGGAGAAGGGCTTGAAGAAGGCCTTGAAAGGCTGTACGAAATGATCCAGGAGAAGAGAAGAACGGCCAAAAGCGGCGGAAATACAAAGCTAAAGAATCGTTTATAGCGGTGGACTCAAGTCAGACTTGGCATTTCCACCATTACCAAAGTATAACTGTAATTGATTGATTGTTGTTGATGTCTTCATCTGGCCGCACACTTTGTTTGTGATGTTTTGTTGGTGAGCAGCTACTCAAACTGGACGACCACGAGCTATATCTATATTTTTTTGTAAACTTTTGCCACTAGCATTTATTTCAAGTTACCTATACAATAACCATGTAAATTACTGCTACAAAGTAATGGTCTCGTACAAAATGAAGTTGGAATTTCTAATGCCATGTTCTCAACAGATCTATTTACCCCCTCTCTCTTTCTCTTCCCAGGTTTTTGTGACCACATGTTTTTCTATATTTAATTTACCTATTTATTACATGTCTTTCTCTCTACATAGTGTATAATAAATTAAATGTATTAAAATATTTATAACTCCACTGAATCAAATCGATCAAATCAATGAGAACGAAAAGTACTCAAAAAAGTTGCAGTTAAAAAATCCGAGCTATATCTACCCAATAGATTATGCAATCCGTTTGTTGTTCTCTGGCACACCTTTTATCAGCTCATCAGCGTCAATTAGCTGATAATCGTGGTGGACATCGCCTCTCAGGTGCCCTCCTCATCAGTGACTATCACCATGGATCGAGTACCAGAGAGTACTGTCGAGTACTTTCTCTATCCATGTTTAGACGGAGTATCCGGTGGTGAGCAGAGCATCAAGGAGCATGTGGACGACTTGATTGTGCAATACAGCAGCCATTTGGCGGCCTACCTGGCTGATTACATCTGGCACAAGCAGCCATTCTCTCTTCGGTCGATTACCAATGGATCAGGTATNGTGAGCAGAGCATCAAGGAGCATGTGGACGACTTGATTGTGCAATACAGCAGCCATTTGGCGGCCTATCTGGCTGATTACATCTGGCACAAGCAGCCATTCTCTCTTCGGTCGATTACCAATGGATCAGGTATTTTTTGGAGATGATTTTATCATTAGTGAAATGTGCTAACCCACTACACTGTCATTTCAACAGATTGCTACCTGTACGGGCGAACCACCTTTGAGGACAACATTGAAGACGAGTATTTCATTTTGTTCCTTCTTCGTGAGCTAACTCTTCATGACCCTGGTCTGGTTGTGAAGGTCAACGACGAGGACGGAGAAATTTTGTTGATTGAAACGTCACAGTTTCTCGACAAGTGGGCCCAAGATCCCAGACGCACAGAAAACCGCGTTTACCTGCACAATGGTCACATGCATCTAATTGCTCCGAGCGTTAAGCCGACTTGGACTGAAAGTGAAGCACGAAACGTACCAAAAGAAGCAGCTCGGTTCATTCGGAATAATCCTGAGAAAACGCGTTGCAGTGATGCGATTCAAAAGTGCATTCTCAAACGAATCAATGCATATCCTCACAATATCAAAGGACTTCAGCATCGAGCCCACTGCTATATTCCAATTTCAATAGCTCTTCTACTTCAGCAAAATCCAAAGTTAATTTCACACGCCGTCCGTGCCTTTTATTTTCGCACATCTGAAGATCACAAAAGTATTATTGACGCAAAGCACTTTTCTGCTGAGAATTGTGTTCTGTCCACCGTTACCTTCACCCGCTGCCTGTACGCTCAACTCACTTCGCAGGAGTTTAAACCTGACAAGCGAAGCAAATGGCCAATACTAAATATTGATGATTCCAATTATAACGCATTTATCAACGGATTCAAAGTTACTGCCGGCTTTGAGATACTTTTTTCACAATATGAAAAGAGTAAAAGTGATAATATCGACAGTGAAGAAGATGACATGGGAAAGCAACCTTTATGGACAAAATTTCAGACTTGCCTTGAGAAAAATGGCTTCTTTGGCAATGAGCCAGTTGGCTCCAAACGACACACTGAACGCCTTCAGCAGAGCAAAACATTCTTTAGCAACATGTTTGTTGACTTGGATTTGATCGACCACGATTTTGGGGTAGGCAAGCAAATCTGTGACTTCACCCGCAGTGTGGACACTGAAAGAGAACTTCAGAAGTGGAAGTCACTATCTCTTGAGGAGGAGGACGACGACAGCTGGCTTCATCTAAACCAGTCAGACTTGGATGCACTCCTCGCAGAAAAATTTGGCTGTCCACCTGAAAGTGAGATGAACCTCGATGAAATCTCAAAGAACATTCCCGAGACAATTAAGAAGTTTGTATTTAACGAGGCATCAGGATTGAAAGGCGCCGAAGCCCCTAGAGCAGCTGAAAACGGCAAGTCAAAGTTGCAGAGCAGCAAAGTAGAGAAGGCTCAATCTGGCGAGAAAGACTTTGCCAACTTTGTAAAGGAAATTCAATTCCTCGTTGGAAAGACGCCCAATTTAAATGACTTTCTGGACGGCGATTCTTCCGATTCTTCCAACATGGGCGACTATGGCTCCGATGACGACGAGGAGGAATCATTGGAGGAACTGGTGGGCGCCGGGCAATCGCCCACCGGCCAGTGCTCCACCAGCTCCTCCAATGACGAGCAGTCTTCATCAGTGTCGCCCGAGGTGAAGGCATACCTGAAGCAAATGGACTCTGAGCTGTCCACCACCGTCATGGCCAAAAGTTTCAACCGACAATGTCCCACTGCTCAACTGGACAGCGACGATGACGCAGACGATGAATCGTCGCCCGTGGAGGGCTCCAACGCTGAAATCGACCTCAATGTACTCTCAAACATTCTCGAGTCGTACAGTGGTGAGGCGGAAATGTCCACCTCGGTCGGTCCGGCAACGGCACTCTTTGCGACGATGGGCACCAAACTTCCCGACATTGAGCGAGACTAACAGAGAACCGAATCATCGAACCACCATGTGATAGTCTTAGATGCATTTAGGCCTAAACAATTTTTAATTACTACCTTTTTTCCCTATCAAATGGCAATATTGCAGACTTCTTTTTACAAATGTAACACCGAAAGTATATAGAAAAACAAATTAAAAATCCAATCGTTTCTGTGCCTTGAACACCGACCGATGCTTCTTTGTCTCCAGTCTTCTGATGGCCGCCTTCTCTCGGCGAACTCTGATCATCTCCAGTGNTGAATCATCGAACCATCATGTGATAGTCTTAGATGCATTTAGGCCTAAACAATTTTTAATTACTACCTTTTCCCTATCAAATGGCAATATTGCAGACTTCTTTTTACAAATGTAACACCGAAAGTATATAGAAAAACAAATTAAAAATCCAATCGTTTCTGTGCCTTGAACACCGACCGATGCTTCTTTGTCTCCAGTCTTCTGATGGCCGCCTTCTCTCGGCGAACTCTGATCATCTCCAGTGTCTCAAATGAAGGCTCCACTTTGGGCGAGTTGGCCGCCTCGGCGATGTAGCAGCGCAGTTTGTCCATGCAGTCGGCCAAGTTAAGCGTCTGCTGGCGGGTCTTGTCAGAGCGAATCAACCACTCGCCCTCTTTGTTGATCGAGTTTTTGTGCTGTAAAAAAATAGAATTTTATAAAAGAAGAAAAAGTCTATTAGAAACATACCAGATCTTGGATCCTCGTCTTCACCTCATCAGGAATCCAGTCGGCTGAGGCGAGGTTCAGCTTAACGGTGGCTTTAGTGTACAGGCGATTTACATTCTGGCCACCGGGACCGGAGCTTGTACAGTAGGAAATGTCCAGCTTCTTTACAGGGATGTACCCGGTGAAGTTTCCATTCTCAAATGACTGCAACAAAATTCTCGTTAGATAAGGCTGAATGGTTAGAAAACAAACAAGTACCGTGAGCGAATCGACAACTGTGTTGGTGGATTTTTGCGAGTAGAGCTTGTCTAGGCTCTGTCCACTTGCAAACTGAGGATATGCGGCCGTATCTGATAGAAGACGTCTGCTAGTCGCTGTTGATGTCAGACGCTTGGCAATCTTCAAGGAAAACATTGTGAACCGGGATCTCTCAAGATGATAATTTCTGGACGAAGTTTTTCACGACATCAACAAAAGTCATGTGGTGAAGGCGGCGGCTATGAGAACTGCAGTGTGTCAGCCGGTTCTGCGCAAATAGCGCACAAAAGTGTGCTTCAAAAAAACATCAGCCAAAGAAGAACTGACACCAAAACAATGCAAATTCACTTTGATGGATCGCTTCACAACTCTCCTGTCATCTGCTGAACTTGCCGTACAGGACCTCTACAAAAGGGAGAAACTCTGCCGTGAAAACGTTGATCAGCTGACCGAGGAACAATGGCAACTTCAGCTGGCTCAGCTGCGCTTGCAAAAAGAGCAAGTTAAAGCTTCAGCCAACTTGGTGGAACAACAACTTGGGCCAGTTCAAAGGCGCCTCAAACAAATTAGAAGAGCTCGCAAGTTGCGCCGAAAGAACCGAGCACTACACAAACAACTTGTGAAGGCGGCTGATGACGAACACAACAGGCGAGTACAATTAACATTCAAGCAGCAAACAGAAAAAGAAAAAGCAAGACGAGAACAATTCGAACTTGATCAACTTGATCGTGAAGATGCTAACTGTATGCTGAATGAAATATTACGAAAGAAGAAAGACCTGATAGCGTTTCACCAGAAAGTAATTTCCCTAGAACAGTACCAATTAGTAGCAACTCAATCCGAGTCGGGGCCTTCGAGTAAAAATCCCGATGCATTTTTTCAGCTAAAGGAAAGCATCATCAATCGGCTTGTGCAGTATAACAAGGAAGAAAACTACATAAAGCAGGTGTTCAACAAAGCAACCACATGTCAGGTCGAGAAGACAACACTCGACCAGGAGGCGCAACAGCAGGCTACGCTGAAGAAGCTGCTGAAGAAGCATCCTGATCAGTGGCAGAGCGCTTTCATCGATAAGATATTGCACAAAGAGGAGTTCGGTCCGGCAGCAGAATTTGATAGCATTCCTGCAGAATGGAGCAAGTATGTGTCTGCCAGTACGATTAGTTGCGATCTTCCGACTGAAAACCACAGCCAACCAACAACGTCAGCCAGTGTGAATTTATGGAAAAAATATTCCCTTTCCTGAGAAATCTGCTGCTCGAACTGCCGTCAAGTTTTCAGTTGCTTTAAAATTAGCAGCGTGGAGCATCGGCATCACCACACAGCTTCTCTCCACCGCAAAACCGGGAACCATCTTTGGGTTCTGGCTACAGTAGACTGGCGACTGCAGTTTGTTTACTGCGGTCTGTCCTGCATTCTGCACCGACTGCACCGTCGTCGTCGTCGTCGTCGCCGTCGTCGTTGTCGTCGCAGCAGTACACATTGCCTTACAGCGTGAGCCACATGAGAGTTTGCCTTTGTAGCGCCAGGCTCACAGTGTCGCAACCAGCAATATTATTCTGTGCTGTGGTTGTAGCACGCAGCCTCAGAGCTCCTCTAGCTCTTCGTGTTCGTATCACCTTCCTGGCATTGTTTTCCATCTCGTCATCATCATGCATTTATTCAACCAGTTATACCCATCCAGCATCTTTTCTCCCTTGCCAGCAAGCGCTGATTACTGCAGAATGCACCACCTCAGTTAGATCTCCCATTGTCGTTGTTTCTCGTTTAACATCAGAACCACTCTAGTCAGAGAACACTTCAAAGGAACCCGAATCCGATGTTTTGGTCGTGTTGTGAAGAGAGAGGGACGAAGATCAGAGACCAGTGAAAAGCTGCTGCTGTCCCAAAAAGTGCTGTCGGTAAGTGCCTGTGACTGACTGTGACTGCGTGTGCAGGGTAGCAACAATAACAATCATCTGGCGAGTACTTCCACTGAATCATCAGAGTTAGCTGGTGAGCGAGACTAATGCTGCTATTGAATTGATTGCATTATGATTGCATTTTAATCGTCCAGACAGATGATGTTACCGATGTTATGTGTACAGACGCTGTGTCTGGCCGGAGTCCTTCTCTGCACACACAACGTACCTACAACCAAATCTGTCTGCTCTTCTGAATGGCTATCAGCCTTATCAGAAGCTGCTGTAGCCTAGACAATAACTAGTGCGACCGTGTAGTCTTGTCTGCTGGTTTAAAACAAACATTATCACAAGTGTCGCACATGTGTGGCCAGTGAAGGAACTTCCAAGTGGAGGGCATCACCACTACATTAGTCGTTTGTGAACCCAATGTTTCACCGTCTCTTGGGACGGTTGCATCAGTCTGCACTTTCGTACATTTCCCTCCCTTTAAAAGTCCAGTGAGACATCGAACTTTGAACTTTAAAACTGTGACCACGCATCATTCAGTGCAGTGTGAGTGTTACTGTACGGCCAAACTTGAAGTTGCGTACTGTGTGTTATGTCTCTGTTGGCTGCTGCTGCTGCTTCGGCACTGATGACCAAAAGTTGCCACACAAATTGTTTGACTCACCAAACTCTCGGCGTCAGCGGCGAGTCGGAACTACTGCTCTAAAGTTCGGCATGAGAGAGTCATGTTGCCGTTGAAGGCTGTTGCCGCTACGGCTGTCTGCTCGCTGACATATGCAAATGCAGTGCGCAATGTACTTTCTGTGGCGGTGGAGTATGTCCAGACTAACGTTTCTTTCGTCTTTCTTTGCAGGGAACTACTGAAGAGTAGAGCTGAGGAGAGAGAAGAAGAAAAAGGAGAAGAGAAAAGAAGAAAGAGAAACGGCCACCCAATTACCGAAGAGGAGGAGAGGGCAGAGGAAGAAGAGGAAGGAGAGGAGACGCCGTCACACCGTCGTCGTCGCCGTCGACTATTATCGTTGGCGTCATCTTTTTCTTCTGCAACCTACTACTGTTCACCTGCGCCTTTCTCGCAAGGATTAAAAATAAAAACCCGCCATTCTGCATCAAGGGGCAGTAGGCAAGTGAATTGCTGCCTTTCTACGGCCAACCTACTTTGCTGCGACTGTTGCTGCAGCTGCAGCAACAAACACTTGGACAATCTCACTCTCATCTGAACACGTTCTATCGTTCTTCTCTTCGAACGGTAGAAGTTTCTCACCGTTTATATATTTTCCCTTCGACCTAGAAGCACTCTCACACCTCACTGGTGCTTCATTCCCCGTGCATCGGTTGCAAGAGCAGCACTCATCACATTCACATTCACGCACCTTCTCGCCTTTCGCAATTGCTGAGCAGCACCTTTAATTTTGACTCATTTCAAGCCGGAGCATGTCGCCTGCCAAAAAGGTTCTGTCACCTTGTTTACCACTTTACCTGACAATGCTCAACTCTGACTCATCAGCCAATCTGGCACTTTTCCTCCTCACAGGAAGTGTTCATCGTCGCGGCGAAGCGAACTCCCATCGGCGCCTTCCAGGGAAAGCTCGCCTCGCTGCAGGCCACCCAGCTGGGCTCCATTGCCATTCGATCCTGTCTGGAGCAGGCGGGCATCTCCGGTGAGCACGTCGACGAGGTCATCTTTGGCAATGTCCTCTCCGCCGGTGAGGGCCAGACGCCAGCTCGTCAGGCGGCCCTCAATGCTGGCATCAGCAAGACGACGCCCTGCACCACCATCAACAAGGTCTGCGCCTCGGGCATGAAGGCCCTGGCCTGGGGAACGCAGACGATCATCGCCGGCGACAATGACGTCGTCGTGACGGGCGGAATGGAGAGCATGTCCAATGTGCCTTACTACCAGACTCGAGGTATGTACAACGGCAACGGTTTTCTTGGCTTCTTTTTGTGCCTTTTAGTTGCACTTGCTACCATTTCCATCACATGACATTTAGAGTGCATTTGACTTTTAGTGAGCGTAATCAGTTTGCAAGTTAGTGTGCTATAGCTCGGTGGATTAGGTCAATGTTGTGCCAATCTACACTAAAACTTGCACTAAAACTCACATAAACACACGCCGGACATCATCAGACAGCGACGGCGGAAAAGTACTATTTCCAGCGGCAGTACTGTAGCTGTTTAGACGCGCAGACTCTGACTGGCGTCATTTATTTGTGAGAACAAACTGTTGTGCTCTCTCTCTCTCAGCAGCAGCAGCAGCAGTGGCAGCGGAGACCGCTCAAACCGGATGCTCCTCGGCCTGATAACCTGACCATTGACCGATTGTCTAATTCGAGCATACCAACTCTCCGCTGCAATGACCCCAATTACTGAAGACAACAGACTGCAGGCCAACTGCCACTGAAGAGCGCTAGCCAACTTCAGCNCTAATTCGAGCATACCAACTCTCCGCTGCAATGACCCCAATTACTGAAGACAACAGACTGCAGGCCAACTGCCACTGAAGAGCGCTAGCCAACTTCAGCTCATATCTAATCGGTGCTAAGTGAGCGTTCTTTCACACAGGTCACATCTTGCACGACCTCAATATCCTTGCCAATCTGCACTAGTGACTAGTCCGTTTTCATGTGGTCACCTGTGGTTTTTTGCTATTTTTATGAGCTATTTTTGCGCAGTTTTCTTGGAATTATGGAAGCATAATTATGGCACTGCATTTCCATCAAATTAGGCAAATTAGGTAATGAGATGCTAACAAGTTCTATTGATGATGACGACGACGACGGTACTATTTGTCAACTGACTTTCCTCGTTCAACCGAGTGTTATCTAAGTGTGGCAATCGCCACCGCAATTTGTTGTTTATCGCGGTTCAGATCAGTTTAACCTACTACCACTGTCGCCATGCATTTTCAGTTTCGACAGGCAAATTAAAAACACGTCTTTTTATCTGATTTCGCATTTCAGGCGCCACGCCGTATGGTGGCATCAGCATGGTGGACGGCATCGTCCAGGACGGCCTCACTGACGCCTTTGAGAAGATCCACATGGGCCTGTGCACTGAAAACCTGGCGAAGACCTTTGCAATTAATCGAGAGGACACGGACGAGTTCGCCAAGCAGTCGTATCTGAAGGCGGCCAAGGCTCGTGACAGTGGCATTCTGGCGAAGGAGATCACCCCGGTGAAGATACCGGGCAGGAAGGGAAAGCCAGATGAGATTGTTGAGGTGGATGAGGAGATTTCCAAGGTGAGCTTCGAGAAGATGCCTCACCTGAATCCGTGCTTCCAGCGAGATACGGGCACCATCACCGCTGCCAATGCCAGCTCCATTAACGACGGCGCCGCTGCCTGCATTCTCATGTCTGAGGCGGCAGTGAAGAAGTACAATGCCACACCGCTGGCCAAGGTCATTGCCTACGCTGATGCTGCCATCGATCCCATCGATTTTGGCATTGCACCCGCTTACGCCATTGAAAAGGTATTAGTAGCGTACTGCTGGTGGTATTATTTTCTCATATCACTGTTTTTCAGCTGCTGAACAAGGCACACGTGCACAAGTCGGAAATTTCCCACTGGGAGCTGAATGAGGCGTTCAGCACTGT